CAGCACTTGGCGGGTAGAGGCAAGGAAACAAGAAATTTAATGCCATCCTTGGCTACATAGGGAGTTTTAACTCAACCACTACATAGGATCTTGGTGTTTTTTTTTAAATAATAAAGTAAAGACAGAAATAATAAAGCATCAAGAAGGAGTTAAGTGGCCAAGTGAGCCGTGGCCAATCAGTTCCAGGGCGCATGAGAAGAAGAAGGTGGTTCTGTGCAGCCAGTGTGACTACTGGGAGCACAAAGGTCCTCGCACTCACAGATAAGCACTAGGGCAACCAGGAATGTTAAACATACAGGGCAGTGTCTTCTGCAGAGGAGATGTATAACCTGTTCTCTACCCAGAAGGCTAGGAATGAAGATCAGCCTAGCTAATCCCTGTGCTATCTGTATGGCCGGGGAATCCCCCAAGCTCCTACAACTAGGACCAGTGGTGACTAATAGCCCAGGTGACCTCTATGCTGTCTACATGACCAAGGCCACACCAGACCCTCCCCGAGACCCTTAAGATAATATCTGTAGTCTACCTATGGAACCCACATCACGGAAGAAGTGACATGTACTTTGAGAAGAGCATCTATGTAATTGTGCCTCCTTGTGCATACGGGATTGTGTTACACCAGTAAACTTTTCTTCCAAATTGTAACATATGGAGTCTTTCTCTATCCTGCCAGCCAGCTCCCAAATAATGACATGGACACTTCTTAGTAATTACAAAAGCTTGGCCTTAGCCTAGGCTGACTTCTAACTAGCTTTTCTAACTTAAATTAACCCATTTGTATTCATCTGCGTGCTGCTACATGGCTCATGACTTTTACCCTCTCCTCCTGCATGCCCTGCCTCCTCTGTACCCAGCAGAGGACTCTGCCTTTCTTCTTCCCTGAAACCTCTCTATCCACAGAAGTCCCACCTAACCTCCTCCTGCCTAGCTCCTGGCCACTCAGCTCTTTATTAAATTAAGCACAGCGACACATCTTCACACAGTATAAAGGAATATTTTAAAATGCAACGTAGGAGCCGGGCGATGGTGGCGCACGCCTTTAATCCCAGCACTCGGGACGCAGAGGCAGGCGGATCTCTGCGAGTTTGAGACCAGCCTGGTCTACAAGAGCTAGTTCCGGGATGGGCACCAAAGCTACAGAGAAACCCTGTCTCAAAAAACCAAAAGAAAAAAGAAAAAAGAAATGCAACATAGGTATCTAAAGTTAATCACTGATTAAACAATACACATATATACTGTGTGCATATATATAAGATAGATATTAGATGTTTGCAGAAGCACTTACATTTACAACTCTTGGCAGAGTCAAAAGGGGTAAGTTCTGACTCCATCTCTGCCATTTTCTTGACTTCAGCAAGTGATGTAAACTAAACGGGCCCTTATTTTCCTCCTTTTCTAAGGAATACATTGCACATGATGTTTGTGGTGATGGCAGAGTACCCGACAGAGCCACAACACACAACAAACAACTAAGTGTGACCAGTAGTGACTGAAGTCATATTAGTCACCCATTACCCTCTAAGACTCGTTAAAACATTCTAGATCCCTCTTCCAGTATTCTCCTGCCTTAATTGTCAATTCTTTTAATTTTTCTCAACTCCTTTAACTTTTTCTCAACATTGGTACTAATTACCAGTTTTGTGCAAATAATTAAGCTAGGCACAATGTCACACACCTGAAATCCCAGCATTCTGGGGCCAGAGACAAGAGGATCTTGGTGCATTTGAGGACAGTACAGGCTACATAGTATGGGCATCACAGTGAGTTCAAGTCCAGCCTGGGCTACATAGAGAGGCTCTGTCTTAAAACAAAACAAATGAGATGAGCAAGGTAGCACATGCCTTTCATCTTAGAACTCTGGAGGCATGCCAGGCGGTGGTGGCGCACACCTTTAATCCCAGCACTCGGGATGCAGAAGCAGGCAGATCTCTGCGAGTTTGAGACCAGCCTGGTCTACAAGAGCTAGTTCCAGGACAGGCTCCAAAATCACAGAGAAACCTTGTCTCGAAAAACCAAAAAAAAAAAAAGAACTCTGGAGGCAGAGGCAGGCAGATCTCTATGAATGTGAAGCCAGTCTGGTCTACACAGTGAGAGCCAGGCCAGCCAAGGCAACATGGTGAGACCCTGCCTTGAAACAAATAAAATAAACAGGGCTGGAGAGAAGGCTCATTAGTTAAGAATGACCTTCCAGGGCTGGAGAGGTGGTTCAGAAGTTAAGAGCATTGCCTGATCTTCTAAAGGTCCCGAGTTCAATTTCCAGGAACCACATGGTGGCTCACAACCATCTGTAATGAAGTCTGATGCCCTCTTCTGGCCTGCAGGCATACACACAGACAGAATATTGTATACATAATAAATTAAAAAAAAAAAGAGTGACCTTCCAGAGGACCTGGGTTCAATTCCCATTAACCACATGGTGGCTCACAGCTGTCTGTACCCAGGGGATCTGACCTCATCTAGACATACATGCAGGCAAAATACCAAAGGCTTATAAAATAAAAATAAAAAAACACACAAATAAAAAATGCATAACAAGGTCTCCTGTTTTATTATGAGAACCGTAGATATTTATCACCAACAATTCATTGCTATTCCCCGTGCATGAGAAAGAAGGGTTCAGGAAAGTCTTGTGGTAGCATTAGCACACCAGCAGAGTCACGGTGAGAAGGTATTCCTCTGTGACCCTCCACATCCCAGAAAAAAGTGTGGTGGTTTATTAATCCCAAAGAAAAAGTTTGTCCTGCAGATGGGCTAGATTAAGGAGCTGCAAACACTGCAGCTCTTTCCTAAAACAGAGTTTGCTTCTCTCTGTATACAGCTCCCGTGAGGTTAGACTGAAAAGAAAAAAGCAGCCAGGTGCACGGGCTACTTGAGAAACCGAGATGAGGGTCTCCAGTTTAATTCCAGTCTGTGCTATACAGGAAGACCCTTGCCAGAAAGAGACTAAGAGGAGGGGGCAGGAGGGGAAGGAAGGAAAAAGAAAAGGGAAGGCAGGTCACATCTCCCCTCCTCCAGTACTGGGGGATGGGGGGTCAAGCCTGGCACAGAGCAGCTATGCAAGAGCTTTGGGGACCTAATGATAGGGCTGAACCCCTCTGCAGATCTCACACCTCACAGGGAACTGCCACGGTGGATGTTCAAGAGCCTGACACCAATCTGTCATTCCTTCAACTCTGGTGAAATCTTTAGTATTTCTCAGCAATTTCCCACTTGTTACCGCTGGTGTTTCTCCTCATTGAAAATGCCCTACCTGGCCAGGCGGTGGTGCCGCACGCCTTTAATCCCAGCACTCGGGAGGCAGAGGCAGGCGGATCTCTGTGAGTTCGAGGCCAGCCTGGTCTACAAGAGCTAGTTCCAGGACAGGAACCAAAAGCTACGGAGAAACCCTGTCTCGAAAATCAAAAAAAAAAAAAAAAAAAAAAGAAAGAAAAGAAAAGAAAGAAAAGAAAAAGAAAGAAAGAAAGAAAATAACCTACCTGCTCCAGCCCTTTTGTTGGTGCCTGTATGTACCTGAGAGCAGCATACTTCACCAGGTTGTAAAATAGGAAAAGGGTGGCCACATCCACTAACTAGTTCTTTCCCTATGTTTCTGAATGTCAAAAATCTGGTTTCCTAGCCGGGCGGTGGTAGCACACGCCTTTAATCCCAGCACTCGGGAGGCAGAGGCAGGCAGATCTCTGTGAGTAGCTCGAGGCCAGCCTGGTCTAGAAGAGCTAGTTCCAGGACAGGAACCAAAAAGCAATGGAGAAACCCTGTCTCGAAAATAAAAAATAAAAAGAAAAAAAGAAAAAGAAAAAAGAAAAAAAAATCTGGTTTCCTTGAGCAACCAACCTGGCCATATAAAAAGGAGAGATGCTGATGTAGAGGACAACCATGTATGTTAGCACTGAGGGGAAGCAAGTGGAGAATTCTGGGTTGTAGCCCCAGATACACCAGCATGTGGGTAGGACAGCTCTCTCCTCAATAGCCTAGTCTTTTCACGATGGGAATAAAAGAGCGGTGGGGGAGGAGATCAAAATTAAAGGATGGGGAATAAAAGAGACCAGAGATCTCTCCAGGCAACTCTTGCTGAGGACATTCTTTCAAGAAATCCAAGAGGGGGAAAAATCCTAAATAACAATCTCAAACTCACAATGACTCAAACCAGGAGTTCCTGTTTTCTGTGTCTGAACAGCAAGGAGAGATAAGCCAGAAAAATGACCATGCAAAGTCACGTTGGATACTAGAGTCCCGAGCGACGGGCACAGGGAAAAAGCAGGGACATTTCCTCTCCTAGGCACAACCCTTCCCCTCCCACAAAGACCAAAATCCTACCAAGGATTCTGTAAATTTCCTCTTGTCCTTATCCAGGGAGCTAGGCAAGTTCAGAAAAACCCACCCGTTATTATTCCCAAATTTCACTGTCACCACCAGGAGCTGGCTCAAAATTGAACTCTAAAAGCAACAATAAAAAGAACTCAGAGTAATTAACTTGATTCTGGACAGTAATAATTCGATCGACATTATCATAGTTTAGTGGGAAGGACAGGCCGACTTGTAGGAGTGGGCCCAGTCCCTGGACGTGCCCCGGGCTCCACTCTCCCAATGCGCCCAAAGCAGGTACTCAGCGCAAAAAAACGCACAATGAGATCCAGGTGCGTCACACCACAAAGATCCTAGGCAGGGAGGAAGGGAGCTGCGCTGTGGGTTCACATCCCCAACTGACCCAAACTGGAAGAAAGGGTTGACGCGGACCCCTGGCTCCCGGACCACGGGACTCAAACAAGACAATAGAGCCATCAGAAGAAAATGACAGGAAGAGCTGGAGGAGCCCAGATGCCCTGGATAGGGACCCGGGAGGCGTGCAGAAATAGAGCTGGGAGCAGTGACGGGAGAAGGGGGCGTGGAGTGACTCCTGCCTCGGACATCCACGGTCACCCACTGCCTGCTTCCAGGCACCGCAGCCACGGAGACAGCTCCCTCCCTCCGCCCACCTGCCCTCCAGCTCCCGAGTCCCGCACCGTGTTGTAGAACTCAGCGATGGCAGGCACGATGGTGTAGTTGTCCTCACACCAATCCACCTCCGAGCTGCCAGCCCGCAGGTGGTCCCACCAGTGCGGGTCGCCCATGGCCGCTCTGGAGCATCGGAGCAGCTTCTCCGCCGCGGCGACCGGCCGGAGCGGCTGCGGGGGGCACCCTGTGCGTCTGCTGCTTTATGCGGTGCGGGACAGCCTCCGGATGAGACGCCTCCCCGCGGGCCTCCCCAGCCTGGCTGCTCCGGCCGGCCACTGCCGCTGCAGACCCGCCCCGGCCCCGCCCCTGGGAGTCCCGAAGCAGGACGGCCACGCCCACTCGGGGGCGGGACCTGACGTGAGAGGGGCCCGAAAGGGCGGGGGTGGAAAAGCGGGGCTGTAACCACTGGCTCTCCAGTTCCGCGCTGGTGGCAAAGGTCTTTAGTGTCGCTCTTGTCCGCGTGCGCCCAGGTTGTGTAAAGAACGCCAGAGCTGCCCCCTCCCCCCGCGCCCCGTAAAAATGTAAAATATGGAGAAACACAAGAACATCCGAACCACTTTGGACTCCTCGGAAGTTCTCAGCAAGCTGGTTCTCACGCTTAAGGAAGAAGGCGGGACAGCTCTACCAGAAAGCGACTCGCTATTGTCGCTGGGGCAAAAGATCCTCCAAGCTGTAACAACAGGTTCTCTGGACTCTTCCAAGCAGCCTGGGCCACCCACTCCCCCGGGGGGGGGGGGGGGCGTTTCTGCAGTACTAAATGTGTCCATACCCATCTTTAGTCGTTTATGTGAACGTAGGCTTGGAGAAAGCCTTCAGCCACCCCAACCCACAGAGGATGCAGTATAGCCGGTAAGAACACACAAGTGCAGGACATTATACACACACAGTACTATAGTACACACAGTTATGTGTGCCGGGCGCTTTTGGGAAGAGTGTCCATATGTCTCCCATTAGGTGACCCAGGCAGGTTTCCCGCGAAGTAGGTTGTGTTAACAACCCCCTTTCTGCCAGTGTGTTAGATCTAATCGAGTTCAGGCCGGATGACCTTCGATCGACTCATAAAGACTTTGCGACTGTGATTATTCTGTAGTTCCTAAATACAAGCCAGCTGGTTCCTAAGATCTTGGAGAAACCCATTTTATTCCTTTCGGTGACTTCTTGAGAAGTTCCAGGTAAGGAGAGTGGCAGACACCCTGGACAGCAAACTACACTGATTGCGGTTTCCGTGCTCAGACGGGCCTGGCTTCTCTCCTGACTAAAGCACCTGTAAGCTGTATGTCGGTGTCTGTCTTCTACAGACACCCACACAGCCATTACCCATCTCCGTGGCAGGCAGAAACTGCGGGTCTCCACCAGGAAACCCGACTTTATTTCCTAGGGACCAGACCATTCCTTGTGTCTTATTTATTTGTTTATTTATTTGGATTTTCGAGACAGGGTTTCTCTGTAGCTTTTGGTTCCTGCCCTGGAACTAGCTCTTGTAGACCAGGCTGGCCTTGAACTCACAGGGATCCGCCTGCCTCTGCCTCCCAAGTGCTGGGATTAAAGGCGTGCGCCACCACCGCCCGGCCTCCTTGTGTCTTTATTATCTGATCTTCTATCCCTTGTTCCTTTTCCAGAGCCAGTTCAACTGTTTCCTGAAACCCAGGAAGGAGAGCATACATATTAGCTTTCTTCTAGGGTCAGTTATGGGCTAGCAATTGTGAGCAGGCCAGAGCCACAAAAGAAAAATGTGCTGTTAATGTCTCCCTGTCAAATACCAAACACCAACAGTCCAGCACCAGAACTGCTTTCTCAAGTGATCATGTTTTACTCTTCCCAATAGCTTAGGGGAAAATAAATTGGGTGTGGTAACACATGCTTGTAATCCCCTGTAGCAAGCTGCGTGGTGTCACACCTGATGGAGACATATAATCAACTCCTGAGATGGCTAAGGCCTGACCTATGCTATGATCACGCAATGATTATCAGCTGCCTGCATATGCGTGAACTGATGGACAATGCCCACTTGGCAGTTCGGGGTTGGCAGCCCATGCCTACTTAAGGGCTGGGAGAGGTTTGCCCGAAGAAAGAGGTCAAAAGGAGAAAAGAAGGAGAGAGAGGAAGGAAAGAGAGAGAGAGGAAAAGGAGAGAGATCAAGGAGAGAGGAAAAGAGAGAGAGGGGAAGAGAGAGAGAAGTGATAGAAGTCCTGGAATAAACTGCAGTGAGAAGAACTCCGGTGGTCGCGTCATCCTTGCGGGATGAGGGTGGCCGTGACAATCCCCCAAAGAAAGACCACGCACATCCATCTATTCTAACAAAATAAAACACCCTTATTATATGTGCCAGTTTCTCTCAAATTGTGATCCTCAAAGTCAAAATGTTTCCTGTTAATGCTGTAGCATTATCTACAACTTGCAATATTTTTGTTTCTAATTTTTTGAGACAGGGTCTCATGTAGCCCCAGCTGGCCTCCAGAGTGCTGGGATTTCAGGCATGTACCACCACATCCAGCTCCCTTCTCATTTTTAAAAATACTCATACGCATTGTTGTAGACGGAAGTTTCTGTCCCACCTGGTCCCACAGCCATGCAGTCCCAAATAAACACACAGAGGCTTATATTAATTATAAACTATTTGGCCTATTGTTCAGGCTTATTACTCACTATCTCTTACAACTTAAATTAACCCATATTTCTTTTCCGTGTTTAGTCACGTGGCTTGGTACCTTTTCTCAGTAAGGCTTTCTTATCTTGCATCCCACACATCTGGATGATGACTGCATCTCTTCCTTTCCTCCTTCCAGAATTCTCCTAGTCTGGTTGTCCCACCTATACTTCCTGTCTGGCTACTGGCCAATCAGCATTTTACCAAACCAATATGAGTGACACATCTTTTTTTTTTAAATATTTATTTATTTATTATGCATACAATATTCTGTCTGTGTGTACGTCTGCAGGCCAGAAGAGGGCACCAGACCTCATTACAGATGGTTGTGAGCCACCATGTGGTTGCCGGGAATTGAACTCAGGACCTCTGGAAGAGCAGACACTGCTCTTAACCACTGAGCCATCTCTCCAGCCCCCTGAGTGACACATCTTTACAGTGTACAAGAACATTATCCTGAGCCTAGCGGTGGTGGCGCACACCTTTAATCCCAGCACTCGGGAGGCAGAGGCAGGTGGATTGCTGTGAGTTCAAGGCCAACCTGATCTACAAGAGCTAGTTCCAGGACAGACTCCAAAGCTACAGAGAAACCCTGTTTCAGAAAACCAAAAAATAAGAAAAGAAAGAAAGAAAAAAGAAAAAAAAAAAGCATTATCCCACAATACATTGTAATTTTTCAGAGTCTGCAGTGTGATATATGGACACCTTATAGAATGTGTTTATGCATTCATAGGCATTAAATACATCAGTTTAAATTCTGGCATTGTGCCGGGCAGTGCTGGTGCTGGTCTTTAATCCTAGCACTCAGGAGGCAGAGGCCGGTGGATCTTTGTGAGTTCAAGGCCAGCCTGGTCTACAGAGTGAGTTCCCCAGTCATCAGGCTCCAAAGCTACAGAGAAACTCTGTCTCAGAAAAAAAAATCTAGCATTGTAAAAATGTTGATAGATAAACCAGGCGGTGGTGGCGCACGCCTTTAATCCCAGCACTCGGGAGGCAGAGCCAGACGGATCTCTGTGAGTTTGAGACCAGCCTGGTCTACAAAGGGAGCTCCAGGACAGGCTCCAAAGCCACAGAGAAACCCTGTCTCGAAAAAAAAAAAGTTGATAGATGTACTTTTTTAAAAGACTGATAATGTGGACAGGTTATCTGTATGCATATGCACACAGTGAAATGGTACACAAACCTGTTCATGCATTTAGGGACTAGAAGGCCTCAGGTGCACTCCTCCAGCGCCCTGTCTTAATCTAAGGCAGGGTCTCTCCTTGAGCTTGGAGTTTGCTTTTCTTTTTTTTTTGTTGTTGTTGTTGTCTTTCTTTCTTTCTTTCTTTCTTTCTTTCTTTCTAAGTATACAGTGTTCTGCCTGCATGTATGACCGCACAACAGAAGAGGGCACCAGATCTCATTATAGATGGTTGTATGTCATCATGTGGTTGCTAGGAATTGAACTCAGGACCTCTAGAAGAGCAGCCAGTGCTTTTAACCTCTGAGCTATCTCTCCAGCCCAAACTGTACATTTTGTTTTTGTTTTTGTTCCCCCCCCCCCAAAACAAGGTTTCTCTGTAGCTTTGGAGCCCGTCCTGGAGCTAACTAGCTCTTGTAGACCAGGCTGGTCTTGAACTCACAGAGATCCGCCTGCCTCTGCCTCCCGAGTGCTGGGATTAAAGGCGTGTGCCACCACCGCCCGGCTAGGAGTTTGCAGTTCTTGACTAGCCTGGTAGCCTGCACACCCCAGCACCGATTGTGCTTCTGCGCTCCTCGGAGCTGGGGTACAGTCATGGACCAGACACTTAACTTCTTCCATGAGTTCTGGCATCTGAACTCTGACCCTCATCAAGCATAGCAAGCATTCTCAACCAATGATCCGTCTCTTTGCAGTCCCCAGGGTCCTCTATGTTTTTACATTTTTATTTATTTTCATGGGCATGGGTGTTTTGCCTGCCTGCATGTGCATCTGTCCACTACATGCGTGCAGTCCCATGGAGACCAGAAGAGGGCACTGGCCCCCCCTGGAACTGAACTTATAGAAGGTTATGAACTACCATCTGGGTGCTAGGAATTGGCCCCAGGTTCCCTGGAAGAGCATCCAGTGCTCTTAAACGCGGAGCAATCTCTCCAGTCCTCTACCGGCGCACATATTGTCAGAAACAGTTCAGGTTTAAAATCAAAGTCCCCTACTGTGAGAGAAAGCAAGCTCTGTTACCCTCTTATTTCTTATGTAGTGTCTCTGGCTAGATTTAGATTTCCAATCAATACAAAAACCGGTTTGTTGACAAGAGAAAAGCATAAAAGATTTGTTAGCTTCCCGTGTGCCTGGAGGTCATCACAAGAGAGTGAAGTCTGAAGGAATAGTATTCTCAATTGAGAATATCGGTATCTCAAAGAATGATATTGGTATTTCTTAAACTAGAGCAATACTTTTTTTTTTTTTGAGACAAAGTCTGGCTGGCCTCGAGGCCTCAAACTCACAGAGATCTGCCTGCAGTGCTGGAATAAAAGGCATGAGCCACCATGCTCAGCCCAAGAACCATAACTTTGTGAAGCGAGCGGACAATTGACCTAGAGCAGTGATTCTCAACCTGTGGGTCTC